TTCTCCTTTCTGAACTAGTTTTCTATGTTGTGTTCCCTATCCTATAGTTAGGAAAAATGAGGCTGACAATCCCATGCCGCGCAGTGACTTGTACACATCTGCAGTGTTTTGATGCTGCCCTTTATCTACAAATGAATGAGAAGAAGCCCACCTGGATTTGTCCTGTGTGTGACAAAAAAGCTGCCTATGAAAGTCTAATATTAGATGGGTAAGTATGTCACTTTTAACAGCTATTGGCTATGTCTTTGTTTAGTACAGTCTATTATAAATTCTATACTAGCATAAAGTCCAGATGTTTGTATATTTTGTGTTTTATACATTATTATAATGAATCTTATTTTTTAAACTGTGGTTAGTGGCCCTTTTATCTTTACAATATGATTTGTGTTGAGGACAAGAGGGTGTATAGTTTCCTTTTATTTTTGCATCCCAAGATCAGATTTTATAGAGCCCATAGGAAATGGAAAAATCTGTTTCCTCTTGTCCTTTTGCTTGGCTAGAACTTCTTGAAGTAGCAGTTAGGGTCTGTGCAAAAATACCAGAGGAAGTCATAGTTGCATTACATGGCTATGAAGTTCAAAACTGGAATTCTTGATCAGGTTTTTCTGACTCCTGAGCTCAAACTCTCTTAAGCATTATCGGTCATCTCGTCGTCCATGTTGGAATTTGGAAAATGGTATGAACTTATTTTTGATAAGTGTGAGATTATCCTTTTTTTCAAATAACACCTCTTAAAAAATTGCCTATGTCATCTGTGTACCACTGTAAGAATCAGAAAATATAGTTAATGGAAAGATTAAAATCATTAATTCCATCTTGTGGGGTTGTTCATCTTTTTTGCCTTTTAATTGTATTTACTGTAATCTTTTTTTTTCATTCAGAAGCTTTACATTTTGACTTCGTCTGTTTTTTGCTTTTCAATTTCTGTCTTTAATGTGTTTAGAAAGTCCTAGAGATTTTATAGAAACATTCACTTGTTTTTTTTATCAGATACATTTATGATTTTGTTTTTTTCTAGTTGTGCAGTTCTTCCATCATGCATTGTTTCATGAAGTCATTCAACACAACACTTACTAAATACCTATTATGTGTCAGATACTGGGTCTAAAATGGTGAACAGAGCACTTCTAATGTGGGAGACAGTAAGAAATTGCATATTAAGTGTCAAGTGCTGTGAAGGTAAAGAATGACTCTGTGAGGAAGAGGAGGGGGAAGAAACTTTAGGGTAGGGAGTAGGTGATCCCATCTTAATGGGTCACCCCATCCTACCACCCAAGTTGCTAGTAGTCTCAGCAACATTTATTGGGTAATCTCATTAATACCTTTTTATATAAATGGCCGTGTCAATTTCTGAAGTGTTTCATTGATCAAAGTACTAGTTGGCCAGTACAAACTATTTTAATTATTGAATTTCTGTCATGCATTAATATTTCTTAGGCCATTTCTTTTCAGAATTTTTTGGACTAGTATCAATATATTCTGCCATAGTCTCTTGAATAAAAGTGTTCTCAAATTATACAAAACAATCCTTTTTGGATTTTGGTTGGAATTATGCTGTTTTCAGTATAATTGAGGAAAATATCTTCTCATGAAGGAGGCATTTTTTTCCATTTTTACTTATTTTTATCAGCTTTATTGAGGTATGAAAACTACATATATGTAAAGTGTACAAGTTGATAAATTTTTACCTATTTTTATATACCTGTGAAATAATCACACCAGTCAAGATTATGAACATACCCATCACACCCAAAGTTTTCTCATATATCATTCTAATGTGTCCCTCTCAGTCCCTCAAGCAAATACTGATGTGTTTTCTGTTGCTATAGATTAGTTTGGATTTTCTAGAATTTTATATGAATGGAATCATAAAGTATGTCTTTCCTTTGTCTAGCTTCTTTTACTCAGTGTACTTATTTGAAATATATCCTGTTGCTGAATATACCAGTAGTTCAGTTTTATTGCTGAGTTTCATTCCAAACTAGTTTTCAGGTCACATGTTGATGGGTTGTTTTTGATTTGGAGCTGTTGCAAATAGAGATACTATGAACAGTCATGCCTAAATCTTTGTGTGGACTGAGGTTTTCATTTATCTTGGGTAAATAACTAGGAGTACAGTGCCTGGTAACATGCTAGGTATATGCTTAGCTTTGTAAGAAACTGTCAAATTGTTTTCCAAAGTGCTTGTACTATTTCATATTCTAACTAGCAGTTTATGAGAGTTTTAGTTGCTCTGCATTCTCACCAACATTTGGTATGGTTAGTCTTTCTAATTTTAGACAGTCTAGTGTTATATAGAGGTACCCCATTGTGGATTTAATTTTCCTTTCTCTTATTACTAATTGTATTGAATGTCTTTTTGTGTGTTTATTTTTCATCTGTATCTCTTTGGTGAAATGACTTTTCAAATTTTTGCCCAGTTTTTAATTGGGTTGTTTGTTTTCATATTATCGAGTTTTGAGGATTCTTTATGTATTTTGGATACAAATCTGTTATCAGATGTTAGATTTGGAAATGTTTTCTGCCGTTTTATCTTTTTAGTCTCTTAACATTGCCTTTCAAATTGCAGATGTGCTTAATTTGGATGAAGGCCACTTTATCAAGTTTTTCTTCTATGGATTGTGCTTTTTGATAGTATTTTAAGACATTTTCCCTAACTCAAGGTCACAAAAGGTTTTCTCTGAGCTTCTTTTAAGAGTTTTATAATTTGCTTTCACATTTGAAAGACCTACCATTCATATCAAGTTAATTTTTGTGTATGGTGCAAGATAAAGATCAAGGTTTTTTGAGGGGCGGGTTATATGGCCATATGATTGTTGTACCACCATTTGTTGAAAAGATAGTTTTTTTTCCTCATTGAATTGGTTTTGCACCTTTTTCAAAAATCAGTTGACCATATATGTGTGGGTCTATCTCTAGACTCTGTTTTATTGATACGTTTGTATTTATATCAATACTGCATTTTCTGGAAGTCAGGTAGTGTGAATAATGTTCCAACTTTGTTCTTCTTTTTCAAAATTATCTTGGCTATTGTAGAGCCTTTGCATTTCCATACAAATTTTGGAATCACCTTGTCAATTGGAAAAACCTGCTGGGATTTTGATTTGTATCGCATTGACTCTGTAGATCAGTTTGTGGTGATGTAACAATATTGAGTCTTCTGATCTATGTACATGATATGTCTTTCTATTTAAGTCTCAGCAGTGTTTTGTAGTTTTCAGTGTATCTCGAGCATCTTTTGTCAAATTTATCCCTCAACATTTCATATTCTTATGTGGTATTGTTTTTTTAAAAAAGTTCTCGTTGTTGCTAATATATAGAAATATAGTTGATTTTTGTATATTGCTCTCATCAAGTTACTAAATCACTTTATGTAGTTCTCATAGCTTTGTTGTAGATTGCATAATATCTTCTAAATAGACAGTAATGTTGTTTTCGAATAAAAATTTTTATGTCCCTGTTGCTCTCTCCTTTTGTTCCTTGCTCTTTCTCCCACTCCTGTGATTCTTTTTTCTTGATATTAAAGTTTATAAATTATTTTACTGTATAATAACTTCCATCTGCTTATGTTCGCTATATGTGCTATGTGTTAGAAGTTGTTTTTACCACCAGTCCCAGCTAGTAGACTCCAGGGTGTACTTCTGTTTAGCCAGTGATATTTTAGATGATAGTCAGTTATTCTTGTGTTGCCTTTTACAGATGTAAACCCTAAGAGGAAGGAGGTATAATAGTAGTTATAAAGTATGAAGTATTGAAATAACCGGCCCCCCCTCAAAAAAAAGGTAGCATTACCTTTGTTTCCAAGGCAATAAGTATTACTTTCTTGGTTCACCTTTGAACAAAGCCATTGATTACATGTATGTACTTCTTAATTGGTTTATAGGCTTTTTATGGAAATTCTCAATGACTGTTCTGATGTGGATGAGATCAAATTCCAAGAAGATGGTTCTTGGTGTCCAATGAGACCGAAGAAAGAAGCTATGAAAGTATCCAGTCAACCGTGTACAAAAATAGAAAGTATGTATAGAATGGCAGCAGAGAGCAAAGCAATGAGACTTGTGCAACATTACCTGTATCATTAATCTTGGCCGCTCGAACTACTTTTGGAGTTCACTTTGCTAACTTCATCTTTTGACCATATGTAATTTCCCCCACAAATGATTTTTATTCTTTCCTAAAGAAATGTGCTAAAGTTTATACCACCTTATCAGCCTTTTCATAGTATATTTTCATATGTAAAATAAATGAAACAATCATCTAAAGTCATTTTAATACGTTTGTTACAAAATGAAAAGTCAAAGTGATACTTATATGGACAGTTTTTCAGAGGTGTTTTTAGAGCATCTGTAGGTGGAACCCCAGCTGGAGGTGTGGTTAGAGAGGATGCATCATTGATTAATGGACTTGAGGGGTGGGAAGAGTGCACAGGTTAGTTGCTTAGAAAGTGAACAAATTATTAACTTCCATTTCTTTGTGGGAAGGAATTTTACCATTGCGTTGGTCACCTAGAATGTGTACTCAAATGTGAACTCCCTGCATCTCTCCATACTGAGTGGAGGAAACTGAGGGCAGTTTGAGCAAATGAAACCCATAGGTGAACTTTTTATCTAACACAATCTACTCACTGTATTTGAATTTTGTTCTAACTGTATTTGGAGTTCTAACAAACAAAGTAATGAATAATAGATTATCAGAGTAAGAAGAAAGGAAAAAAATAAAGGTTTTATGCCAGTATTAATTATTCCTCTGAGATTGGTGCTGAACCAGAGAGTACAATGACCAAGGTTTCCCTCATCTTTCAGAAAAATAAGGAGTGATTTGAGAAGTTGCTGCTGCTTCTCCATTATCAACTACCATTCATTTTTGACTGAATAGATTACAGGAAATAATATACTTTTCTGTGAAACTGTGAGTTAACATTTGGTGTATGAGACTATCTCAGGGGGCAGAAAGAACCTAGGTGATTAGTAGATGATTCATAAGAAAAGCTTTAAATGTCTGAATAACTTAAGTGAGAAGTTTGAGTTTTTCTCAACTTAAGGTGAAGCTTTTTATCAAGGTTTGGTTTATGGTGAGGAGTCTGTACATTCTTTGACATGAACATGATTGCTAGAATGGAAGTATCTAATTCTGACTAAACTGTGCCACATGTCTGTGAGAATACACATCTAATGAAACCACACACAAATTCTTGTCCCATGGCCTTTGACCAATTCCCTAACTCCAGGTGTCTGTCTGTAAAATGCTGACTTGGGGAGACAGGGCAAGCAGCAGGATCTGCACAGATCCATCGACAGTGCTAGAGAAATAACTAAGAACGTGCTATCTGAGAAAGACTTTTGACCCTTTGTCAAGGACTAGAGCTTACCTGTCTCCCCAGTGAGCAGTCATTTTGTAGACAGATCTGGAGTTAGGGAGTCGGATTCTTTCCATGGGACAGAGTATGTGGCTTCACTGGCTGTATATTGTCATGGAGATACTGCACAGGTAAGACTCTATGGCAAGAGTTTATTTGTGTTATACCTTTGATTTTTTTTTTTTTCTTCCCTCTTCTGTTTTCCTACACGCAGGTTCAAGTGTCCTCAGTAAGCCTTGTTCAGTGACTGTAGCCAGTGAGGCAAGTAAGAAGAAAGTGGATGTTATTGACCTAACAGTAGAAACCTCTTCTGATGAAGAGGAAGACCCTCCTGCCAAAAGGAAATGCATCTTTATGTCAGAAACACAAAGCAGCCCAACCAAAGGGTTTGTTAATTTATAGTTCACTATTGTTCGTTACATTTGCAACTAATTGTTCTTGGATAGATTTGTAAATGTCTCTGAGAAGATGCATGATTGTAGAAGGCTATTATAATTTGCCTTTGTTCAGCTGAAATATTTTACAGTAAGCACGTTGTTTATAGCAGTGGCCCCCAACCTTTTTGGTGCTAGGGACCAGTTTCATGGAGGACAATTTTTCCATGGATTTGGGGGAAAGGGAGGCGAAGCTCAGGCAGTGATGGGAGTGTTGGGGAGCAGCTGTAAATACAAGTGAAGCTTCACTGCCACTGCTCACTTCCTGCTGTGTGGCCTGGTTCTCAACAGGCCACAGACCGGTAGCAGTTCGTGGCCCAGGTGTTGGGGACCGCAGGTTTATAGGAAAGCAAATTTCGATGAACAAAATATTTACATCTTTGGAAAGTGAGAGTTTGAGATATTTATTTCCTACTTGATACTTTTTGTTATTTTCTTGAACCTATTTGTAATGAAATTTGGCATCTCAGACCAACATAAGAAAGCTTGGCGTAATAGAGTGTGGAACTGGGAATCTGATAAGTGTGGATTCCAACTTTGATACTATTGCTCACTTGTTCTGTGGTCCTAGATGAAGTACTTGTTTGAACCTCCTTTTTCTGTTTTGTAAAATGAGGTTAAATAATGCCTACCTTACGGGATTATTGTCAGTTTTCAATGAGATTATGAAAGAACTTGGCCTCAGTGTCAGGCACATGGTAATTTCTCAATAAAAATTGATTCCCTTCTCACCCTCTCCAGGGCAAAATATGGTCAGGTAGATGCATTCTAGCATGGATTCTTTATGATTTACCTGGGAGAAGCCATTACTGGCCTAAAGTAAAAGACAGGTCTGAGTATTTAGCAGCAGGTGCTTCTTACATACAGATTTTGGACCATGCATGGAAGTAAGGGGGCAGGGGCAGGGAGTTGACAGCCTGTGAATACATTCTTTCAAACTTGGGTATGCTAGTTTCGTCTCTTTGGCCTCTCAGTGCACTTAGTTTTCTAATGCCTTTATTGAGGTATAATTTACATGGCATAAAATTCACCCATTTTAAGTATACAATAGCACCAATCACTGATTTTAATAAATTCATAAGAGTTATACACTCATCATCATGATTCAATTGTAGAATATTTCCAACACCCAAAAAACTTCCCTCATGTTCTTTTGTAGTTTATTGTGAATCACACCACAAGTCTAGGCAATCATTGCTCTTTTCATCTCTCTAAATTTGCCTGTTCCAGACATTTTATATAAATGGAATTCTGTCTACTTTTGCAACATTCGGTTTTCAGTTTTTTTCTAGTTACTTTGAAACTACTTTTTACATTACTTTTAAGAATTAAACCTTTTGAGTTGCCTTCTTCATTGTTAAAATACTTATTTCAAGATAGGATTTAAACATCATAGTAAGGTCATATATTTTCTTTTATCTATTTAATTAGAATGAGTTTTTAAATTTGTTTTCTTAGTGGAACAGAAAATGTAAAGTATTTCAAATGGGTTTTTTTCTGGTGTGCTGGTCACTTTTTGCTTTTTTGAGACAATTTGGTTAGTACTTATAATTTAAATGATAAACAAAATGAAAATACAATTTTGATATGCTTGCTGAGGTGGAAAACCAGGGTAATAAATGCTTAGATCTGGTATTTCTAGATTTTACTCTAATGATACCCTTTAGAATACACTGGAAAAGCATGGGTTGCAAGTACTGTAGTTAATTGGATTCATGCCAGGTTGAAAGATTGTACATAGTAGAGCTGACTCATGAGTTGAAGTGATCTTGGAGCATGTCTCTGGTGACATGTCAGGAGGGTCTACTCTCTGCCTGTCCTTTACCATGTTTTTATCAATAATAAGAACACAAAACTGAAAGGATGTCACATGTGACAAAACCTGAAATGACCTCAGAATGCAGAGGTATAAGAATAGTTTCACCTATGGTCAGCTACTCTAGCATATAGCTCCTCATCTAGGTTGAAAAGAAAACAAAAACGTAAGTATTTAATATAAGGTAGAAATTTGTGACTAAACCAACAATTCATGAAAGTTTTGATTTAAAAAGTTTGCATAAATTGCAACTCTTCTGTTCATTCCATGAAGCCCACATAACCTTAATACCCAAACTAGATTTACATGTCAACACCCACAGAGAAGAACCTTTATGAAACAGGCTCAAATAGAAAGATAATGAAAATTCTGGCTTTAGTCTTAGGAAATCATTTAATTATATATTAAAATAACATCCACTATAACCAAGTAGATTTTATCCTAGGCGTGCTTTAATATTAGAAAATAAATTGATAAAATGAATCTTGTCACAAGAACAACACACTCATCTTAACAGATGCTTGGAAGTCACAGATAAATTGCCATTCCTGACAGAAACTCTTTGAAATGTCAGAGTTACCTTAATGGTTTGACGGGTTCACTACTTAAGCTGATTTGTTCTTAGCATTAACAAAAGAAGCATAGTGTCCAGGGTACAGCCTGTGTCAGTTTTGTTCCATTTTAGGCTGTGTGGCTTTCAAAGCATTTTAGTCAGTGCCGTCATCAAGAAGGGTGTTAACAAGTGTGCGCAGCCAGAGCAGGGGAACAGGAAGGTGACTAGCAAAACCTGGAGCATGATGGATGAGTGGGTCTAAGGACTGAAGCTGTTAAGCTAGGAGAGAATATGTGATAGCTACCTTGTGGTTCTTGAAAGGGAGTCATTGACTAGTAGGATTAAATGTATTCTTTGTTATAGCATTCATCAGATTTAGGTCCAGTAGAGGAAAGATACACGGAAAAAGTTTCTATTTGAGCTTTTTAACACTAAGAAAGTTGATGTTTTATAATAAAATCACATTTTCTGTGTTGAATTAGAGGGCTGCCCACCTGTTACAGTGTCATAGTGGAGGGTCATGCTGTGGTTATATCATCTCTCTGATCCCTTCTACTCTTAAGCTTTTGTTGGTTTGTTCCTGGTCGTCCTTTTCCTACCCTCTCTTGTGGCTCAGCATCTGGAAATTTTTGTTTTTTTCTGCTGTATAAGTTCATCATATGACTTCCTGGTCAGTGATAGTAAGCAAATGAGAAAGAATAGAGACTGAGAAACCACCAAAACCTATTTTAACTTATAGTGCAGAAATTATGTGGGGTGCTATTTTTTTTTAAAAGGTACGTTGTTTTAGTAAACATTATTCTTTTTTTTTTTTTTGAGACAGAGTCTCACTCTCTTGCCTGGGCTAGAGTGCCGTGGCATCAGCCTAGCTCACAACAACCTCAAACTCCTGGGCTCAAGCGATCCTCTTGCTTCAGCATCCCGGGTAGCTGGGACTATAGGCATGCGCCACCATGCCCGGGTAATTTTTTCTATTTTTAGTTGTTTGGCTAATTTCTTTCTATTTATAGTAGAGACGGGGTCTCACTCCTACTCAGGCTGGTCTCGAACTCCTGAGCTCAAGCAATCCTCCTGCCTCGGCCTCCCAGAGTGCTAGGGTTACAGGTGTGAGCCACCACGCCTGGCCAGTAAACATTATTCTTATAAACTTTTACAAAGCACCAAAAAGAAATTGAAAAATACCTCTCCTAGAGAGAATGACTGTTAACATTTTGATGACAATCCTAGCACCTTTCCTTGCATGCCAGTTAGAATCTTTAAATGCAGTCTTACAATACCTTTTAGAAGAAACTGGTACGTTAATCTAAGATGTTTAGAAAACTTCTGATGTTTTTCTATATCAAAAGGTAATTTTACATATTATGCTTCTACCCCTACTCCCTGGAAACTGAATGGTTGCTTTGTCATTAATAAAGAGGTATTCTAAGGACAGAAAACAAAGAATAGGGATAAATATGAATCTTTTTTATACTTTTATGATCATAAAGTGAGAGCACAGTGAACTTCAGGTTTATGAATAAAAATTGTCAGTCTATTTTCAGACATCTAAGTCTGAGCCAAATGTGAATTACATGCAATTCTTTGACCCAGTACACAATCTAGAATACTAATATTTGCTATAGCAACATGCTAGCAATTTACTTTTGTGCTGTGATATTATGGATAGTTATAAAAATTTAAAATACATATGTACACTTGCATAATGTGTATATATATATTATATATGCCTGTGTGGATATTTGTCAATCCTATGAAGAAGCAGTAATGAATGTTAAAAGTTTTTAAAAATTTACTACTTCACAGCATCACATTTTTACACCCATGATTCCACCATACATAGCCATTTACATTTCTCCATGGAATCTGTTATTCATATCTGTAAATACATTTTTTTTGCATAGGTTTTAGAGTCATTTTGTTTCTGAATGTGCTCCTTGTGAAGATTCTGATAAAAATCTACTACCAGTATGTAATTTGATAATCCTAATTAATGACTATTTTTAGCCGTCCTATATAAAGTTGAATTTGTGTTAATGGTTGCAGAGTTCAGGTAACAGGAATTAACCTGTTCGCTTTTCATATGTTTAGCTTTTCGTATGTTTTCTGAGGTTTTAGATGTTGATTTACTAATTTGTACCCCTGTTGGATTTTGGCATTTTCTTAGGTTTTAACATTCACCGTTTGGTATTGAAGAATCGAGGAGTTATTTAATCATCTAAAGTTTCATGTTGCTTTGCAAACAGGACGTGCAATCATTAGGTGTTGACTGTGGTGACAGACAAGTGTGTAGGGATGTTGACTGATTCCTCTGTAGTTGTAAGTCAAGGGTTTAGGGAAGGAAAGGGAGTTTGGTTATTGCTGTTGCCTATAAGTCTGTTTCAAGTTGAAGGATCAATTCAGGATCAAGACAAAAGAAAATCTCCACTGTGAAATATCAAAGGAAGAGAGAGGGGAGTGGGAGAAAGACAGGCATTGTCTTTTTCTTGTATCTGAAATTCTTTTAGTTTCTTTTAGTAGCAGAGAAAAAGCAATAGATTAAATGAACTTTTAAGTAGAAACTTTTTAAATTAAATGAAACTTTATGTAGTTTTTGGTCTTCAAAATCTTACCTATTAACATTAAAAAATAATAGATTAAGATATTAATACTGTGAGGCAGCCAGAATGAGCAGAGTTACTTTTTTAGCCCCCTCCCCAGCACTCAAACATACCCAGTCTCATCCTCCTTAACCCTGTGTTCC